TCAATGTTGCTGAGTAAATATTTGCCGAGTACACAAACAATAAAATGAGAACTGTCTACTACGAGTCTAATTAATCACCCTCACCCCCTTTTCAATTTCATGATTAAAGTTCACGGGAACACGTTTTGTTCATGAAAAGTGATCTTCTTGGTCAATGTTGACAGAAAGTGTCTTTTTATTCCAAAAAGCAGAGCTACATTATATCTCAATATTGTCAGCTTGACGGATGTCTTTAAGCAACTCACATTCTCCACGAAGATTATGCTGGTAGCCAAATTAATGAAATCAACCAAGCTCTTAAGGAAATTAGCACATAAATTTAAAACATTCAACGCAATCTAATTATAAAGAAGCACACTTTATATGCGGGCCCAAGTGATAAATTTTACAAATAGGATTAAGGCTTTGTATAATGTCAACTGGCCAGTAGCGACATTTTCTTCCCATTTTGAAACATCATTTCAGAACATAAGTGGGGAGCTTTGATTTTTCTGAAACTCAAACTATATAAACATTGTAGCGTTGACTGTACCATTAAAAAATTGTGGTAAAATATACATAACCTAAAAGTTACCACTTTAACCAATTTTTTTTTTTTTCCCCGATATTTTGTTCAGATAGAGTGGGAGGGAGAGAGAAAGAGAGAAACATCAACATGAAAGAAACACATCGAGTGGCTGCCACCTGCATGACCCAACCAGGGCCGGGGACAAACTGCAACTGAGGCACATGTCCCTAGCGGGAACCGAACCCGGGTCTCTCCAGACTGCAGGCCGACGCTTTAACCACTGAGCCAAACCGGCCAGGGCCACTTAAACCATTTTTAAAAAAATATGTTGTTATTATTATTATTATTATTTTTTAGAGACAGAAAAAGGGGGAGAGAGAGAGAAACATTGATATGAAAGAGAAACAATGATCGGGTGCCTCCGGCACACCCCCCCCACTAGGGATCGAACCCACAACCTGGGCATGTGCCCTGACTGGGAATCAACTGGGACCGCTAAGTCCATGCGACAACCCTCAGTCCACTGAGCAACACTGGCCAAGCACCACTTTAACCATTTTTAAGGGGACAATTTGGTGGCATTAAGTACACTTGCACTTTTGTGTAACCATCACCAGCATCATCTCTAGAACTCTTTAAATCTTGCAAAACTGAAACTCTGTCCCCACTAGACAATAACCCCCATTCCTCCCCACCCAGCCCCTGGCGCCCACGACCCTCCTTTCTGTCTCTGTGAATCTGATGACTCCAGGGACCTCACAGAGGTGGGATCCTACAACGCTAGTCCTTCTGTGTCTGGCTTATTTCACTCAGCATAATGTCCTCAAGGTTCATCCACATTGGGGCCTGTGGCAGAATTTCTTTCCCTGTTAAGACTGGATAATAGCTCACTGGATGGAACGACCACATCTTGTGTATCCACTCGAGACGTCTGGATCATTGCTGGAATCCCACTGTCACACTCGCCGACCGTGTCCCTGACCAGGGCACACGGTCCACGTCCATTGCTGAGTGTGCACACAGCCAAGGACGCTTCCGCTCTGGCCCAGACCCCCTTCGAAAGCCCGGGAGGACTTCCTGTGGCCGCAGTGGTGTGAAGGAGAACATCACCTTCACTGTGGGAAGCTGACCGTGTCTCCTCTCTCTGGACGGTCTTCTGTCTCACCCGGGAAAGGCTGTGGGCTTGTCCCAGGCATAACCCTTCTGCTGCCACGGAGAAACCCCGCGTCTGTCTGTCACCGTCACGTCAAATGACCCAAAGCCAAAATAACTGCTTTCTCTTCAAATCGGTGTGTCTTCTTGAAGGAGGCTGTTCTACCCACTGTTATTCGTCGTTGAGAAGAAGCCCGTATTTTGAGACGTTTCTCTTTCATATCATTTCATTCTCTCTGAAGGTCATGTCCCCCTCTGCGCCTTTCCCTGGCCCTCCCCAGCGCCCTGGCCCAGGCTGGAGGCAGGAAGAGGGGAGATGCCAGGATCGCCATCCCTCTGCCTCAGACGGCCTCTCGGGCCAGGGGCTGCTTCTCCTCAATGCCCCAGCCCCTGCGGGGCCCACACACATGGTCCCACCTCCCATCTGACGGCCCCGGAGACGCAGCCTCCTCTCTTTGTCCCCCAGCCCTGCGGGAGCGATGGCCTCCTGCTTGGATCACCACCGGGCGGCTTCCTCGTTCCTTTCTTGGATTCCCTTCTGTCCCTGTATCGCTGCCACCAAGTCTCTTGATTAGATGCGCAGGAGAACAGAAACCTCTGCAGACCGTGTCTCCCTCACACCCTCCCTCCCAGGCCCACAGTTCCCGGGGGCCGAGCCCTGGATGCGCGGGGCTGGACTGCTCATGGCCTCCCAGGGGCCTTCCTGTCTGCAGTCTGTCTCCTAGTCCGCCAGGCCCCCACCTGCTCAGCACGGTCCCCCCCACTGCTCCTCCACCACGGCCTCTTCCTTTTCCGTGCCACACGTCACTCTCATCCCAAGTCATGCCCAATTTTTTTTTTTCTACAAGGCCCTCCACCTGTCCCCTTATGTGTTTATTTATTTTTGTGTTAATCCTCACCCGAGGATATTTTTTCCGTTGATTTTTAGAGAGAGTGGAGGGGAGGGAGGGAGGGGGAGAGGCAGAGAGAGAGAAAGAGAGAAAGAAACATGGATGTGAGAGAGACACATGGATTGGGTGCCTCCTGCACACACCCCTGAGCGGGGCTGAGGATCGAACCTGCAACCCAGGTACGTGTCCTTGACCGGGAATCGAACCTGAGACCCTTCCGTGTGCGGGCCGGTGCTCTAACCGCCAGGCTACACCGGCAAGGGCCTGTCCCCGTATTTAAACTCGACCAGTGACTCAGGCTCAGCTCAGTGGGGCCCTGCATGGGAGCCCTCCCTGCGCCAGGCGGACACCATGCCCTCTCCACCTCCCGCAGGGACAGCGTTCACCGCACCACCTACCCCCACGCAACCCGCTTTCTGTGTTGACCCGACTGTTACCTCGTGTCATTCTGCCCCCGTGAGACTGTCCGCTCTGGAAGCTGGAACAGCAGCAACAACCCTCAGCCCCCAGCGAATACGATGACCCCGAGGGAGGCGGAGTCGCGGAGTGTCCTCGGCGTGACGAGCACAGCTCCCTTCCCCCCAGGCAGGGACTGTGTCCCCACGTCAGCCCCAACAGCAACGTGGAGTCCTAACCTCTGGTCCCTGTGCCTGTGTTTGGGAGTCGAGTCTTTGCAGATGTCATCAAGTTCAGATGAGGTCATGCTGGGTCAGGCTGGGCCCTAATCCAATATGACTGCGGTCCTTATAAGAAGAGGAAATACAGCCCGGCCGGGGTGGCTCAGGGGTTGAGTGCCGACCCTGCACCAAGGGGTCGCTGTCTCCATTCCCAGTCAGGGCACCTGCTCAGGTTGTGGGCCTGTCTCCATGGGGGGGCGGGGGGGAGGCATGCAAGAGGTGGCCAATCAATGTTCTTTCTCATGGATATTTCTCTCTCTCTCCCTCTCCTTTCCTCTCTCTCTAAAATCAATCAAGAGAAAAAGAAAAAAACAGAGGAAAAGACAGAAACAGATACAGAGGACAGACAGCCGTGTGGGAGGGAGGCAGGGACTGGGGTGATGCTGCTTCAAGCCAAGGAAAGCCTGGGGCACAAGGGGCTGGGGGAGACGAGGAGGATCTCTCCCCTAGAGACGTGGGAGGGAGTGGGGTCCTGCCAACACCCTGATTTCAGACTTCCTGCGTCCAGAGCCGGGAGGCAGTGGTTTCGCGCTGTTACAAGGCCGCGGTGTAGGCCCCTTCCCCTCAGCCCCAGGAAATGGAAACAGCTGGATCGATAGTTACAGCCACACTGATTGGTCTCAGTGAGTGTCTCGTGTCCTTGCTGGGCACCGACCTAAGACCGAGTCTCTGCGGGACCGGGCGTGAACCGGGCGGGCGATGAGGGATGAGTCCACGCGTCCACGCTCAGGGCCACGTGTGGGACGGTGCAGGGCTTCCTCCGCGAGCCGCCACTGGTCCTCCTTGTTGAAGGGGCACAGACAGCGGCTCCAGCCCACCCTCAGGCTCACCTCCTCGGGGATGCTTTCCATCTCCAGCGACGCAGACTTTACGTCGGGAAACTCTAGACTCAGAGTCCCAGTTAAAAAACCTGCTTTTTCTGCTGTGCTCATGACTTGTTACTTAAGTCTCCCACTCAAGGTAAAGTAAAAAAACTTTTTTTATTTTTTATCCTCGCCCGAGGACATGTTTGCATTTATCTTCAGATAGAGCAGGAGGGAGAGAGAGAGAGAAATATCGACGCGAGCAAGACACATCGAGTGGTGGCCACCCACACAACCTCAACCAGGCCGGGGACAGACAACCTAGGTATGTGCCCTTAGCTGGAACTGAACCCAGGACTCTGGTCTGCGAGCTGAAGCTCTAACTGCTGAGCCAAACCAGCCAGGGCCAAACCAACTTCTAATGACAGATTTTTAAAGTTGTTTTTTTTTTTTAAATCCTCACCTGAGGATATTTTTCCATTGATTTTTAGATAGAGTAGCAGGAAGGGAGGGAAGAAGAGAGAGAGAGAGAGAGAGAGCGAGAGAGCGAGCGAGAGAGAGAGAGAGAGAGAGAGAGAGAGAGAAACACTGCACCTATGGGTTGCCTCCCGCATGACCCAGACTCGGGCTGGGAATTGAACCTGCAACCGAGGTATGTGCCCTCGAGTGGGAATCAAACCCAACTCTTTGGTCTTCGGGCTGATGCTCTAACCACTGAGTCACACCAGCCAGGGCCATGATGGATATTTAAAAAGAAGCCCAGGGAACAAAAACCTGTTTCTGGTCATGTTTCAGGTGTGACCACCTTACCGGACTCCATCTGCCCCTGGGCCCGCCCCACTCTCTCAGCTCGGGCCTCCTGACGAAGGTCCCACGGCCGCAGGGCACGGCCTCGGCCTCGGCCTCGGCCGCGCGCGGAATCGGCCCTGCCTCCAGCCGGCGGCCGCCCACGGTCAAGGCCCCCACTTACGGTTCTGCAGGGAGCGTAGTGCGTGGGCGATGCTGCCGGCGGCCTGGCCGGGCTGGGGAAGGAGGACGGGCAGAACCTCTGGCCCGTGTCCGGAGGGGAAGGCGAGGCATAGATGCGGTTTTCCAGGCGCTCTGGCTCCTGCTTGTAGGATTCGAGGGGGAATGAGTGCTGTTTGGCCACTTGGGTGGGTGTGGATGGAGAGGCGGACAGGCCCGAAGCTGGGGAGGAAACCACACGGTGCCGTTAGAAGGCTGGCCACGCGGGGGCGGGCGGAGCAAGGGTCCTCAGCTTCCAAGCCCCCAAATCGCAAAGGGCAAGAATCACATGATTAAATCCTGAATCCCGGGACCAGCCTTTAGAAACCAATTCCCAATCCTTAGAATGAGCCGTGTCCAGAAATCCCTTCGTCATCCAACTTGAGTCGTGGGTGGGGTCCCCTTTGCTGGGACCGGGTGCTTGAGCAGCTCAGAAGCTGTCTGGGTGCAAGGTTTCTCTCCGATGCACCCCTCACTCGCTGTGTTCTCCCATTTAGTCAAATCCTGCTTGATCCCCGTCCTCCCCGACCCAGCGTGGTGCCCAGGGCTCACCAGCAGAACCCCTGCTCCTGAGATCAGACAAGGGGAAAGTCCCCAAAGGGTTCCACAGAGGAAAAGGTCCGTGTTGCAGACATCACATGACAACATACACCGAGGACCGGATGAGACAAGCCGTTACTGTCAAAACACAGCACGGCCACTGTTCCTGGGAGCCGGCAACGGGGAGAATCCTCTCTGAAGGCGGGTGCTGGTGGGGACGGCAGGGGAGGGGCGCGCCTTGCACAGTGACCACTTAGCTGGGTGGGAACCAGGAGGAAGCATATGGGGAGACGGGGGACAAGACTATGCCCAGATGCAAGGGGCTGTCCACTTGACCAGGGCATGTGCGATCCAGGATGGGGGTTCTGAGGGAGATGGTCGTCACTCACATCGGATGCTGGAAGATCCGTGTTCCTGGATGAACTGTGTCCCTTACAGAGAGGTGTGGAAGTCCTAACCCCCAGCCCCTGTGAATGTGGCCCTATTTGGAAAGAGCATCTTTGAAGATGTCATCAAGGTAAGATGAGGTCATACGGGAGGGGAGAAGGTCCTTAACCCACTGTGACCATTGTGCCTGGGAGAGGAGAGGACTCACGGACTCTCACACACACACACGCACACACACACACACACACACACGCACACGGCCACGGCCACGTAAGGCAGAGGCAGGCCCTGGGGGATGTATCTACAAGCCAAGGAATGACAGGCCACCGGAAGCTGGGAGCGGCCAGGAAGGGTTGGACCCCGGCTCTCAGAGGGAGGGCGGCCATGCTGCCCTGGGTCTCCGAGTCCAGCCTCCTCGGCGGGAGAGTAAACACCTGTTGTTTGAAGCTACTAGTGTGTGGAACTTGGTCACCGCAGGCCCAGGACACCGACACACAATAATGTTGCCTGGTACTGATTCGTCTTCCTAGAGAAGCAGAATCGGGATTTGGGTCTGGTCTCGCACATCTTCTGGGTAACTGAATGAAGTGTTTGTTTTAAATGTCTCATTTAACATCTTTAAATCACGTGAGTCAAAGCAAAGAGGCCAGCGGACATGGCCAAGGCCACCCACTTGCTGCTACGGACCTAGACACAGAGGGTCAGCCCCAAAGCCACAGCTGGGGTCTCCCTCGCCGTGCTACTCTGTGCCAGGTTCCGGACTCCTGTCCCCAGTCCCTGTGCCCACAGGTGTCCCCTCATCTCTTCCGTCCTCACTCCCCACAGTGGCCTCCCACTCAGGTGTCACTTCATCCAATCTCTTCCTGACCTGGGGCCTGTGAGCCCCACCCCCAGGCGTCACATTCCACCTGTGCTGTGTGCCCTCAGCCACCAACGACCTGTCTGACACCAACACTACGAGTCAAAGACGCAGGCCTCCTGTCCCCAACCAAACCCACCTCTGGCTTCGGGGCAGGGATGCTGCCCACACCCTCGGGTCCCCGCAGCCCCCAGCGCTGCCCTGGGCCGGGGGAGGGTGCTGGGAAAATGCCTGCCAGCCGGGGGGGGGAGGGGACAGGAGGGGGAGGGGCGAAGCTCAGGCTCAGTTCTACTTCTCTCCCTCCGGTGCTTCTAGGGTGGCGGTTTGGGAAGTAACCAGTGCCAACAGGAGTGTCATATCCCAGGGAGCCCCCCGATACCCCAAGTCACGCCAGGTGGGGATCTGCACCCCAAGCCCCAGGCTGGCCTCTGGGAGCAGCTTGAGGTGGCAGCAGGACTAGAAGGCCCTCCGCCGTGTCCACAGGACGCAGACTCCAGTACGAAAGCCCTCCAACAGCAAAGTCCCCAGCGCTTTGCAAACAGGAGGCTCCCCAACGGTCTTGAGAGCAAGGTCTGGTTTGAGGCAGGGCCGGGTGGGGTTTGGGGTTGGGGTGGGGGGACCAAGAGCAGGAAGAAAGCTGATGAAGCCGATTCCGTAGCAGCTCTCCAGGGTTGACCGGCGGCTGGCAGGCAGGACGATACGGGAGGAGCCTGGCCCAGGTCCCAGCCCTTCCCCAGGCCAGGCCCCAGCCTCCCGGCACCCACGCTGCTCAGAGATGCCCACGGAGGGCGAGGAATGAGGACGCCGGCCAAGGCTCAGAGGGGGTGGCGGGCTGTCAGGGCGCCGAGCTGGGGCCCAGGAGAAGGCCCCGGCGCGGTGGCGTGTCCGTCAGTGATCTAACGGTGGAGAGTCCTCAGCAGGGGCACCAGCCTGGCTCCTCACAGCGAGGCCTGGACGGGCCAGGTGCCAGCGGCACAGTCCAGCGGAACTTCATGGTTCCCTCTCCCAACTCGCTCTGGCCACTGAACACAGAGGCTCGCTTTCCTGGGCCTGGGGTGGGGTGGGGACTGGGGACCCGGTGGAGGGGCGGCACACAGCAGGATGGGGTGGGGGCCGTTCAGGGGCCACCGCATCCTGACAGCCTGTGAGCACCCCTTGGGAAGAGCCCTCTGGGGCCCCAGTTCTTCCTGTGAAGGGGGCCTGGCCCAGTGACCTCTAGCGCCCCTCGTGACATGCACAGCACCATGTCTGCCCTAACACAGGGCACAGTCCATACCAGCCCCTCCACGGTGCCTGTGACCTCACTCTCTGGCTCAAACCACGCCCACGGAGGGATTTCCCGTGGCCCGGAAGAGACAAGCACCTCTGCGGAGGCATCTGGCAAGATGTACCAGAATCTCACGTGTACACATTCCTCACCACGAGTCTGCTTCCGGGCACTTCTCCCACAGACACGCGTGATTGCTAAATGGCGACTGGGGTGGGGGGTCGTTCGTCACCACGGTGCTTTGAAAAGCTGAGACTGGCCCTGGCGGGCTTGGCTCAGCGGTTGGAGCATCGGCCTGCGGACCAGAGAGACGCGGGTTCGGTTCCCGCTAAGGGCATGTACCTCGGTTGTAGTTTGTCCCCAGCCCTGGTTGGGGTCGTGTGGGTGGCAGCCACTCGATGTGTCCCTTTCACGTCGATGTTTCTCTCTCTTCCTCTCTTTCCCTCCCACTCTATCTGAACAACAACAAAAAGAAAATGGAAGAGGGAGGGAGAGAGAGAGAATCATCGATCGGTTGCCTCCCATATGTGCTCTGACTGGGAATCAAACCCACAACCTTTCGGTGTACGGGACCACACTCCAACCAACTGAGCCACCTGGCCGGGGCCCCCCCACTACTTTTAAGTAGACCAATTTCTTGCTACCTGTGTGTTTGCTCAGCAAGCACCAGTGTTGAATGGGAGCATGTCACGAGCAATCAGAGTCCCACATTATGAGCTGGTTGGGGAAAACGGGACAGAACACAACCGGAACCCAAATCCACAACACCTCCCAGTAAGTGCCGAGCGGAGCGCGCGTGACCCCAGGCAGTAGGCGCTCAGAGGGGCGGAGCCCTGAGGCTGGCGGGGCAGGAGAGCTCCCAGACCCCCAGGAAGCCCCGGGGCTCCACTCCCGGGAAACGGACTTTCCGATGGGCCCAGAGGGACGGACAGGTTTCTCCTGCTGTGTTCTCCCGTGAAGGCTTTCCCTCTCTCCCCTGCTTCTCAAGGACTTGTCAGGACGGCCGCCGCCTCTGAGCAGGACAATGCCTTTGATTCTTCCCGGGCAGCAGCCAGGACAAGTGAATAGGCTCAGTGAGGGAACAAGACTCAGCTCCTGGCAGCCACACAAGACACCAGGCCAGTGGCCCCAGACACCAGGGAGCCAGGAGCCGGTGATGTCAGGGCTTCGTCTGGAGAGAACAGGGGAGGGTGCGGAGGGGAGAAGAGGGAGCCGCTGCAGGAACAGGAGCAGTGGCCAGTGGTTTCACCACAGTAGCCAAAGCCTGGCCTTGGCGACACAAACCAGGTAGACCAGCTGGCTGTGCACTGGGCACGCACATTCCTGCTCCTCCCACCCTGCCTTGGGCAGCACCGACCTGACTCAGGCATATGGTCTAAAGTAACAAGAGAGGAAAAAATTCACCTTGCTTCTGATCTCAAAATGTCCTTGCAGCCCTGACTAGTTTGGCTCAGCGGTTAGCAGCGGTTCTCAACCTTCCTAATGCCCGACCCTTTGATACATTCCTCACGCTGTGTGGGCGCATCTGCACGTGGGCGGACCCGCCTGAAGACGGACAGAGGAGCGGTGTCTCGGTTCCTAAGACCCTCGGAAATACGTTTTCTGATGATCTCAGGCGACCCCTGTGAAAGGGTCGTTCGACCCCCAAAGGGGTCGTGACCCACAGGTTGAGAACCACTGAGTTAGAACGTTGCCCCCAGGACCAAACATTCACAGGTTCAATCCCAGGTCTAGTCCGGGGTTGTGCAGGAGGCAACACATTGATGTGCCTCTCTCACATCAATGTTTCTCTCTCTCTCCCCCTCCTCCCTTCCACTCTCTCTAAAAAAATGAAAACATATCCTAGGGTGAGGATTAACGACGACAGTGTCCTCGCCGACCACTGCTCCCAGAGGCACGGTGCGAAAAGCACACTTTCAGTTTACACTGAATGAGCGTGTGTCTATCTGCAGGGTTAGAAGTCCAATGCGCTATCCATTGGGCCACAGGGCCTATCTGCAGGTTTTAAAACTGCTGATCATGGACAGGAGGGATGTGCTGTTCCCAACTTTGGAGGGATGGTGACAGGGGTCAGAGGGGACATGGGCACAGAGTGGGTCAAACAAGCACACAGCCAAGGAGGGGCAGACC